TTGGAGTCCTAATGAACACTACTTCATCGAGCTCCCTGGGATGACCCGTGTGGCCCGGTGGGGGCAAGGACACTTGCCAGCCAGCAAACGTGTCAGAACCACTCTGAAGCACTGCAAATAGGCACGGACATTCAAAGGGTAAGGAACGCTTTCCTAATGTTGGAAGGGTTATTTTTTAAAACAATATTTAGCTGAAAAAATGGAATACATCTTGTCCTTAAAAATATCTTTTCAAAGAATTATTTCATTTCTATTGCTTTGCAATAAAAATTCCTACAAAAGACAACCTTTTCTATTGATTACTCAGAAAGCAAGGTATGAATCCACGACAGCACTTTTTTTGTTCTACTCAGATACACCTCAGATTATATTTCAAATAAAAAGGAGTAAAATGCACAGTTAAAAAGAGCTTCTCATAAAGTGGACATCGGCAAATTCTGTGACCTGACCATACAAAATGTATTAACCAAATAATAGCAACTGAGATATCAAACTAACTTTTTTTTGGTTCCTATGTAACTTGCATACACATGCTGCCTACCTAAACAATTTCAGAAGTAGAACAGAAAGATGATCAATTTAGGAATATAATCAAGCAGTCTTTAAAACTAAAACCTGTTTTCAACATGCTATGAAATGAAAATAACTTAAATGAGTTCAACAGTGTCGCACTATCAAATACTGTAACATACTAATGTAGATTCTATTTTAAAAATGAGCCATCGACATAAAAAAAAGAACGCAAACTGTAAAATAAACTGAAGAGAAGAGACCACAACTAACTATTTATGGGCAAATTGTATATCCAACAAAGAAAACTTAAAGAGACACGGAAACTTTGATTAACCAAGAAAAGATACTTTTGGAAGTTCTTCAGTATGAGCATGCTGTTACATAAATACAGAGAATTCACATCTGAAAACACCAACATTTTTGAAAGTCTGTTTTTAGGTTATTTATATTAAGCTAAAACGAACAAGCTCTTCAGGACTGCATGTACTTTCTTACTGAAAGGGAAAATCAAGTCATTAAAGCAGCTGCTCCTTAATCTAGCCTACCTTATTTTTTGGATTGGATGTGTTCATTACACTTCGAGTCTCTTTTCCAGTATAAATGACAACACCTATTACAGTACCTGCAAAAACACGAAAGTGGTCCTTACAGAGATGCCTCAAAGGGTAAGCACAGAGAGAACACTTTCTAATCAATTGTCTTGATGGAAAATATTATTCACTACTTAATTTTATATAAATTTATCTAACAGCACATTTGATTTGGCTAGGTCAAGAAAGTCTAATCTCAACTTTCAAAATAAGCTTTGAGGAACTCAACTGATTTTTTAAGCTATACAAATTTACCTATATACAACAACATTAGAAAATGTACTGATAATCTTTTCCCTGTCAAGAGAAAGGGTGACATCACTCGGTTCACGTGTGCAAACACCACAGGTAAGTGAAGAGAGGCTGTGTTCTCAAGTGGTCAGATGCATCATGGGACCTTCAAACCAAGACCGCACCACCTGAACCACCTTCCCTGAGCGAGACTTGAGTACTACTAGGTATAAGAGCCTCCACTAACATTTTAGCACCTATACAATTAAAACAGTAAGAGACAATTACATAAATAACATTTGATGTTGAATTTAGATGTTATTAGCCTTTTTTACTCATGTCTCCTGAAAGTTTGGTTTTCTAAGTGTGTATGCCTATCAAACTTAAGGTAAAAGAATACTAAAATACCCCTAGAACAACCACTGGATTACAAAGGCTCAGAGGCACTCACCTCTGTAATATTAAATTAAAAACCACAGAACAGGTCTGTTTCTAAACTGCAGCTATGCATAATCTATATTCCTAGTTTTCGTAAATTCTGAGGATGAGAAATGATTAAAGAAAGAAAATCACGTCCATAAATACTCACTGAGACCAACACCACTGCAGAATTCACTATAATAACTGTACAAAAACTCTTTGATGTCACATTAATGTAATGTATGAAATTTAGTGTGTTGTAAGTCAGGACCCATGGAATAAATGTGATCCTAGTGATCTCTTGGATTTATATGAACAGATAGCTGCAAATTATACACATTAGATAATGAACGGTTTCCTCCATGGAATGTTCAGGAAGACAGGGAGGTGCTAGAGGGCTGCTCAGTGGTCACATCTGCAGAGGTTACACGTTTCTTTCAAAATAAGCATTTCCTTTCTTCCCCCCGTTTTAATTGTGAGCCGCTTGCAGAGCTGTGTGGTTGAATTTCCTGAGCCCCTTGAAAGCAGAGCAGCCCCTCCAGCACAGAGGGCAGCCCAAACTGCACAGATGCGACCTCTGTAGAGCAGTGCCCAGCAGAGCTGCAGATGGCAGGTCTGCACTTAGTGCTCAGGAAAGCACAGATTACGTAATGAGCCAGTGCCGTAGAGGACCCCACCCCAAACACACACAGCTCTTGTGTCAAACAGTGCATTCGATCCGACTGCGTCAGTAGTTTCTTCCTATTTTGCCAATTAAACTTAAAATATAGGAGTGTCTCATTGAAATAAGCTCACTAATGTTAAAAAAGTACAAAAACAGAAGACAAACTGCAAAATTATTTTTAATATTAGCAGAACAAAGAGTCTCAGAAAAGACTTAAAAATTAATTAGGCTAGAAAACCCTGTCCTAAAATCCAGACAAACTATTAGTAATGTCGATTCTAGGCTGGTATTG